TAAAAGATTTATAAATCATACATATTTATAAAATTAGCATTAATTAAATGCAATCTGATCCCTTGGACATCATGAAACGTAGTAAAAGCCGTTATCCTCAAAAGCTGCATGTACACAGTGAGATAATTACCAAGTCAATTAGTTACTGAGTTGGTCTAGACAGTTAATAATCAGACCTTTACAAACTAATATGTAGGTCACATATTCCAAATAATTTTTGACAAACTTTCTAAAGAAAAATTTAAAAATTGATAATCGAATCTCTATGCTCAGAGTTGAAAACAATAATCTACGTAAGAACCACTCTTCCTCCTGAGAATCTAAATTAAAGATTAAAAACCAAATCAGAATTCCTAGCCCCTAAAATACTGCTCCAGATTCTGATTTCTATTCCAGAATGCATACATATATTCCATATATGCCATGGAAAATATCCTATCCAAATCTGCCCTGAACATTAAATTTACTCTTTTAACTGGAATCTGGATAATCCCAGTTCTCTTAAATGCAGAGCAATGAAACAAACTAGGGAAAAAGTATCAGAAAGATAGCAGATTTATACTTAATACTAAAATAAAGTGAAAAGACTACCCACATTATTTTGAGAGAAGCCCGAAATAGGGTCAAATATTAAATTATTTCCACACTTGTGACCTAAATGTTTCACATAGCTAACCTAGGCTAATTACAGGAAGAAAGAGTAGAAAAAAGACAAATTCTTTTAGCAAAATAGGAGAAGTCTTTTTAAACATTATTACTAAAATATAAGGGGACTCCAGAAATATAGTTGTGCCACTGCGCTCCAGCTGGGTGACTGAGAGACACTGTCTCTACAATAATTAAAAAATAAATAGAAAATATATGAGGATTCTAAACTTCTTAATTGTAACAGGAAAAAGTCCAATTAAACAAACAAAAAAGAATGAGCTCACACTGGTACAGTTTTATTCCTCAAAAATACAGGAATTAATGGAAGGTAGGAATACAAAATACAGAGTTATGTTTTCAAGATTTCTTCATGCCACTTTATAGGAATCCTCAATTAACTGCAGAAAATGCTGCAATAATTGGCATGACTAGGATTCAGTCAGCTCAGTACTTCATATTCAGTGATGTTTTATAAGCAAGAACTTCTTCCACTTTGAAAACTATGCCTAAAAAGGAATTCTCTTTGAAGACTAAAGGAATTTAATTAAAGATAAAGCCACTTGAATGTCTACACAACACATCAAACAGATCATACTTCAAGCAGAATTATTACTTTTCAGTGATAAGTGCATGACTCATAGGAATATAAATGAAGTCTTTTTTTTTTTCTGTGTATATCAATTTGGATCCAGAAATCTACATGTAGAAGTGCACACATTTGCTCGGTCTATATATTTTGGCTTCAATTGAACTTCACATGAATAAACACTGATTAATTACTTATGGCCAAATAAAGATTTGTTTTAATAAAAGTAACATACTTGAGAATTCTTTGTCTTATTGGACTGGAAACAAAGCCTCAATAATATAATAAACAAATAAAAAGTTCATAAATATTTTTAAAATATTAACAGTCTCAATATTATTAATAAAATTTCACATCTATATAGAACTAGTTCTAAGAATGTAAAAATAACATCAAGTATTTAAAATTTCCATTATGAATAGTCTTCAGATTTTTATTATGGACTATCTACTGACAAGTTTAATAGTAACACTTTTATTAACATTTGCTGGGTGTTTATCCTACATGATTAAGGAATAAGGAACACAGTTCAATGAAAAGTTCCTATAAAATAACATTTAAAAGAAAAAAAGGTAGAAATCTATTGGAAATTGTATCTTCCTTGTCTTTCTAAATGGAACATACTAAAACTAATGTAAGATTGTATTTATGATTCAGGGTCATCATGATGTAAAATATTCCATTAAAGTACTATAATGCAGTATCAGCTTTAAGGATAGAGATATGAGATGATATGCTTTAAAATTAGCAAATTGGTTGCTAACTGCCCAGTAACTGTCACTTCTGTTGCAAGCAGCCCCAATCCTTTCTGTCTGTATCTTCGTGAACCCAATCAGTAAACAATCCTAAGCACAATTCTACACCTGAAGAAAGCAACTCTCTGCCTCCTTCAACCAGAAAGCAGCTCTCTGCCTCCTACAGCTATCATCTAATACTGTATAGACAAAATAAGGATATGAAGAGATATCTGAATACACGAAAACAAGAATTATGTATTACATATAAGATTTACGTGGTAGGTTAAAGAGCATAAAGGATACTATAGGCAATAATAGGTGAGCTACCAAGAACAATCTCAATAATAAAGGAATTTTAGACAGCAAGCATCATTTCTTGTCAAATACAGAAAAAGCTGCAAGCGAAACTACATTGATCAATGAAACCTTTACGTTAATTCCACAGAAGACAGGTGAATGAGCAAAAGAAATGAAATAGTCTAAGGTATCATAATAAATGACATCAAAACTGGATGAAGCTCTTGGATAATGCAGCAGTTGCGCTATGGGAAGTTAATGGACCTTATAGCAGACAAGTGTGATAAGATCACTGAGGCCTCACCTGAATGAAGAAGTACTCAAAGTTATGAATCCAACAATAATAGTATATTATTAACAATGTACTAGTAAACTGAGTAAAACGAAAAGCAAAAGACCTTTCCTGATCTTCCACAGATTAAAAAAGATGAATATTAACCAACTGGCAAGCATTTATTGACCACCCACTAACTGATCTGCCACATGTCAAACATGAAACACATTTCTTTCTCTCAGGTACTTTACAATAAGTTAGAAAAATAAAATAGATACAACACGGATTAGAGCGAAAAAATTTCAAATGCAAATTAAAGCAAGGTTTTTACGTTTTAAAGCCTAACACTAGGTGATGAACAAAGAGATAATGGGAAGCACTCACATACCACTAGATCAGTGTAAATCAATACAACATTCTGTAAAGGAATTTGGTGATACAAGAGCCTTAAAAAACATACATACAAACACAGAACACAACAAAAACAGACTCTGGCCCAGTAACTCCTCTTCTACAAATCTAATGGGGAGGGGATTTCAAAGATTTCTGTAAAAGAAAATTGTCTGTAGTGAAATATACACTAGCAAAACTAGAAACATCCCAAATATCTGCCAATAAGAAAAATCTAAAATACGATAGTTACATGAAACGTTAAGCAGCTATTAAAAATATTTTTCCACAGAATATTTCATGATACGGGTATGTCTGAGTTAAATGAAAATACCATATGATCTCAGTTTCAGGAAAAATACACATATATGCACACAAAAATATTTAAATTACACAATATTTTTATTTTCTTATTTGCACAAATCTTTTTTCCAAATCACTTTATGATAAGATTTAACAAAATAATTGTTATTTGCAAAGGCACATATCATGAAACAGAATTAAAATGTAAATCTTAAAAGTCAATGTGAGAGATTGCCCTGAATTACTAAGTTTCACATAAAAAATTACTCCAGAGAGTTTGCGGGAGAGAATAATAATCTATGTAGATAAAAACCATGAGGAAATGGTTGCAGACGCTGATATTGATCTGAATTAAGTAGGTGGAAACTGAGGGAGAACTGAAGATAATGGTTACAACAGATTTTAAAGATAACCAAACATAATCTATTCATGAGTAACTCATTGTACTTCCCCAGCATGCAGGCTTTTAAAAAATTGACTTTTGTTATAAAAATACTAGTACTTGGCTATTTTTGTTAATATTGGTAGAGATTTCGAATCACTTTTACTAACACGGGGCATTTCATCTTTCTTACAATCTCTTAAGGCTGAGACCATATCATGAAACATTACAAAAGGAAACAAATTTGAGATCAGAGAGGTGACTAACCCAAGAAAATGACTAGTTAAGAACGGGTAAGAAAGACCACTCACTGCTAAGCCTCTTTCTCAATACTGAATTATTTTTAGAGCTACTTTTTCCTAGTCAGAGACTGCCAGTTTTGTCTGCAGTGCTCAAACATTTCACTGAGGTTTTGAGGCTAACAAATCTGCCCCATCCAGCAATATTTAAAAACTTACTGACCCAAACTCAGATGAAGTTAAGCAAACTGGCTAAAGACGAAGGAAGCTTCTCTCTCAAACCTCGCCAGAACATGACTGTCCTGAAGTTTGGGGAATCAAAAACGGAACGTGCTTACCGCAGTTCAAACAAACAACAAAAACGGATTCTCCCAGAGTAAGAAGAAAACACGACAAGCACGTCCATCCAGTGCCTGCCCTCCCGGCTGCAGAGCCAGCCTCTTCCTTTCCTGTGGTTTCTGAGACGGCCTGGATACCGCCTGGTATTTCTTGCTACCAAACACCAAGCATTCTCACTTTTTCCAGCAAGACCGGTCCCTTTCTCAGCACACCCAAGTGGCACAAACTTGGAAGCACCATCTCTTAGTAACCCCCTAAACTCTGCTCTATCCCATCTAATTCTAAAGCCCAAATCTACGTTTTCCTGAAAGAAAGTGTAAAATAAATAAGGGTCTCAGCAAATCCAGACTGCTCTGCCTCAGAGCTGCCTCAAAAAACCCATCACCACATCCGCATTGGGTGAGGCTCAGTCGATGAGGCAAGGGGCGGGTCCAGGAAACCACGTGGTCTGCCTTCTGCGCACGCGCCAGCCAAAACAAAAGGGAGGTCTGCCAAGCCCCTCCCCCCACGTGACCGGCGTCTAGGTCCACCTCCGCCCCTCCCTCGACCCCTTCCCTCCCCAGCTGCCAAGGCTGTTAGGTTTAGCCGTTTAAATTTGGCTGCGGTCAGACCCCTGCCCTAGAGCGCGATCCCTTGCCGAGACCGGAGTCCAGCAGCCCAGAGGATTCGGGGGGCGAAGGGGCTGCCGGTCGGTCGCCTGACCCGCAAGTCCACCCGGCAGTCTTCTCCCCTCCCCGCGCTGCCGCCGTCCCCGAAAGGGGAGACCCACCCACCTCGTCCCACCGCTGAGACGCCGGCCACTCGCCTGCTGGGGCGCCCTGGCTCCCCTCGACCGCCGCACCTTCGGTCCAGCCGTGGTGGGGCTGCTGAGGTGATCTCTAGCTGCCCGCCCGCCTCCCCCACCCGGGGCACCGCTGACTCGTCTCCAGAGCGCGCCTCGCTCCCGCCCCGGCCGCCGTCGCCGCCGCCGCCGCCGCCGCCGCTGCCGCCGCCACCGCGGTTTAACAGTCTGCCCGCTGCCCGTAGCTCCGGGCGGCTCGGGGGGACGGAACCCTGCCGCGGTAGAGGAGCAGTGGGCGGGGCCCGGCGCCGGCCAATGGCAACGGGGGAGGGGCAGCGCCATGCAAATGAAGCGGGTGGCGGGGAAACCCCGGCAGGGGGCGGGGCCTGCAGAAGCGGTCTGGAGTGTTCTGGAAGTGGCAGGATCCCGAAGCCCTGAACTCTGCTGCAGGGGTTGCCTCGGCTCCCTCGGGGCGGGTTCGGCGCCGCTCCCGCTTCCTCCTCTCTCTTTCCCGGTGCCAACCCCGGAGAAAAAAACACCGCCAGGAGACTTCCCACTCCTGCTTTGCTATTTTTGTACCTCCGTGACAGGAAAAACAAAGCGCCGAGGCTAAGTCAGGCGCATTCACTCCCTGCAGCCCGCGCCGGGGCCTCGGCGACTCCTGCGGTCTGCGGCTTTCACGCGCCACTGCGGAGGCGGAGTTGAAGATTTCTCCCGGTTGTCAGGTCCACGCTTCTCCGTGCGTTTGCTTTTATTCCGTGCGCTCGAATCCACTCATGCTTCTTTCTGACCTCAGAGGGGCCCTGAAGTAGGGGACCAATTTGCCTTGTATCCAACTGGGTGGTTTATGATTTAAATAAAAAAAAAAAAAAAAAAAAACCACCAGAGGTAGGTAGCAAGACCAGAGAAAGCATTGTTATGTCTCTACCAATCTGGCTTGAGTGGCGCTGGACTTAAGTTACCTCTGCAGTAGCGCTGTCAAGTGAATAAACGGAGTTTATGTGGAGATAGTTGGCCAGGGACACAGAAAAACAGTTCTGAGCGTCTTGCACCTGCCCCGCGCTCCACTTACCGCAAAACAAACCTGCACCCGGGCTCTTCCCGAGCACTCGAATTTTTTTTTTTTTTTTTTTTTTAACTGAGTTCTACATATAGCTTCGGAGATGTTGTATCACAGTCTTTCCTAAGCAGCTAATTTACACATGAAATGATTTAAGGAATGAAGAGTACTAGGTTTTTCAAGGCAGAAGGATAGTTGCCATTATTTTAACCTTATCAATTTGGGCGGGAAGCAGGGGAATCCAAGGATTGCAGTCATAACAAAGCGTAATCTGGAATTAGAAAATTAGCTACTTGTTCCTGGTGATTCTGGTAGATTGTGATGTTACTGAAATGATTTTTATGACAAGCTACATTTATTGGAGATAATTTTTTTTAATTACTGAATAATTGCACCTCAATATGGGCAAGGGAAGAGTTTTAGGAAATTGATTTACTTTCATCATAGTAAAAGTTGTAAGCTAATGATGTTGTGAAAAATAGTAAAATCAGAAAATATTTATTGAATATTTACCATATTCAAAGGACTGTCCTATTCCTTAGGGACAGAAATCCAAAAATGATTAAAGTAGTTTTTAAAGTTTTGTTTTTGTAATTAGCAGTCTGAGTTGTCTAATAAACATGTGTTAAGATAGATCAAAAGAAGATTCTGGATTTGAGTTGGATGTTTAAAAGACTTTGAAAGTGAGTTGGATGTAAAAGTCCCTGTCCTCATGCAGTTTATAGTGGATGACAAAGGGATTAAGCTTTGTAATTACACAAGTAGTAATTCATACAGTATTTCTACATATATTATCTATTTTTTTCATCATGTAGCCATTGGAGGTAGGCTGTTTCCAATACTCCAGATTAATTTTTTAACCTTCTAGTCATCCCTGCCGCCTGCCAAATTTTACAGACGTTAAATATTTCAACCTATCAAGCTGTCATATATGTACATTTTCCCTTTTCTTTTTATATTCAGTTAATGAGAATGTGGGGAGATGATTAACAAAATAATACGGGTTTGATATAAAATTCATAGGAAAGCACAAAGAAGAAAACCACAATCACATGCAAGGCCTGCTGTATTTTATGTGTATGAGATGACACTGCGCATACTGTTTTTTTAATCCCATTTAGCTACATATTAAGCACACTGCCCTTTGACACTGAATATTGTTCTAAAGCTTGATTTTATTATTTGTAGCATATGCATGCCAGTTTTCCAGACACTATAGAATATCAGTTCTTCTTACTACAAAAAATGGTATACTGAATCATTTGTCAAACTATTTTCTGTATTACTCAGCAACAGCCCCAAAACTGCATGTAGTTAATATTTTTTTAAATCCAGGACATATTATTTAGAAGATACATTAAAAGCATTTTGATTTCCAAGAAAAAATATAACAGCGGTAAGAATAGAACATTTTAAAATCCAGAAAGAACAAGGAGAAGTAAAGGGCACCATTCTTGCTGACATCATAATTACCTATCTGGAAGCATGTAAAAATGTCCAGGTAAGCAGTATTACAATGATTTCATGAGATAAACTTCTCTCTTTAACACTGGTTTTTATTCAGTCATTCCTTTCACTCAAGAAACATTTCATGCAACACTTAGTATAGCTGACACTGGTGATAAATGCTAGAGATAAAGGAGAAAGATCAGTCTTTAATTTTAAGCAACTCACAGCCAAGAAGGGGCTTTTCTTTCCCCCTTTCTTACTTGATTTTTCTCCATAGCACTTATCACCTTCTAATGTAACATAGATTTTGATTCTTTTGCTTCTGCTGTCTATCCCCCTAAACTAGACCATAAACTCCATGAGGTCAGATGCTTTTGTTGGTTTGCTCATTGCTGTATCCCCAGAGCCAAGGACAGGGCCTGACACATGTAGATTCTGAATGCATATTTGTTAACTGGATAAATTAATTTTCATATCCTGCAAAGTGAATGCTATATTCATTTTCCAGGTGAAAAAAATATATGAATCTCAGTGAGATTGATGTACTAGATTCTTATACTAGTAAATGGCCCAAGTTGGATTTGAAGACTGAACTGACTGGGTCCAAAGCCAGAATTCTTTCCTCACTACCTCTCACAGAATAGAAAGCTTTCTATTCTAATCTAGTCTATTCTAGTCTATTCTATTGGAGCTTGTACTATTTATTTTGCTATATTTCTATGCCCTGAGAAACTGCCCCCCACTGTTATATTACAGTATATTTAATTTTTTTTAATGATCAGGTTTATGGAAATAGGAGAAGCAGAGGGGCTAAACATGATAATTCCTACTCAGGACAGATTTAGATTTAACTAACCAGTACCTATAGACAAGCAGACAAAGGGTAGAAATAGGTAGCAAGACCTAAGATTCTTCGAACCAGGGTTAGGTATAACAGAGTGAAGAACTGGTCCATGACTATGGGGGAACACCCCCTCTGTGTGTGAATATCCACAGCACTTTTATTCACAACAGCCTCAAACTGGAAACAATCCTAAGATCCATCACCAATGAAAGGACAAATAGTCGGCTGTGGTGGCTCATGCCTATAATCCTAGCACTTTGGGAGGCCCGAGACAGACGGATTACTTGAAGTCAGGAGTTCAAGACCAGCCTGACCAACATGGTGAAACCCTGTCTCTACTAAAAATACAGAATTAGCCGGGCATGATGGCACATGCCTGTAATCCCTGCTACTTGGGAGGCTGAGGCAGGAGAACTGCTTGAACCTGGGAGGCGGAGGTTGCAGTGAGCCAAGATGGCACCACTCCACTCCAGCCTGGGCAACAAGAGTGAAACTCCGTCTCCAAAAAAAAGAAAAGAAAGGATAAGGAAATGATGGCACATTTATATAAAGGACTACCACCCAAAAATATAAAGAAGAAACTGCTGATATATAAAACAACATGGGATGAATCTCAAACAGTATACTGAGTGAAGGAAGTCAGACACAAAATCATAAATATTGTATGAATCCATTTATATAAAGCTCTAGAGAAAGGCAAATCTAACCAATAATGACAGAAAACATGATCAGTGGTTTCTTAGGGCTGGGTCGGGAGAATTGACTGGGATGGGATTAAAGGGTGATAAAAATGTTCTGTGTCTTGATCATGGTGGAAGTCAAATGGGTACGTGCATTTGTCAAAACTCATCAATATATACTTAAAATAGGAACTCCCTAATGAAAGTGGGCTAAAAAACCACAGGAAGTTCACAGTCCAAAATGTAGACAGGCAGAAAAATTAAAAACTAGGAAGATAGGCTGTGTGTAATGTATGAGAAAACTCAAAATAATAATAGCTTAAAAACAGAAGGGTTAATCCTCCAATATATTTTATTGATTCTAAGACACATTATTTTTCCCTGCTTTAACATTTCAGAGATCAGAATAACTTCACAGTTCATCCAGTAAGAAAGTATTGTATGGTTTTGATTGACAGGGATTTTTTTTAATGATACGTATATAGGGAATCTTAAAAATCAATGAAACACAGTAAAAGTAGTCTACAAGTAAGTATCCCAGAACTGTTATAACAGCTCCACAAAGTCACCAGAGACCCAGGCTCCTTTCTTTTATTTTCTCTTCTCCATTCTCAGCCCTGGTTTCCATTTTCAAAGCAATCTCACAGTCCAAGATGGCTGCTGGAACCCCCTCCATAATTATCCATTTCCCAGGCAGCAGGCAGAAAGAAAAGCAGAAAGCAAACAGGGCCTTTAAGGTGACTCTCCTGAGTCCCTCTCAACAATTCTACAACTTCATCATGTGGATAAGTTAATTCCTAGACATTTTATTTTACTTGTAGCTATTGTAAATGAGTTTACTTTCTTGATTTCTTCTCTAGATTGTATACTGTTAGCATATAGAAATGCTACTGATTTTTGTATGTTGATTTTGTATCTTGCAACTTACTGAATTTATCAGTTTTAATAGTGTTTGTGTGTGTGTGTGTGTGTGTGTGTGTGTGTGTAAAGGCTCTAGGTTTTTCCAAACATAAAATCATATCATGTACAAACAAAGATAATTTGACTTCTTCCTTTCCAATGTGGATGCCCTTTATTTCTTTTTCTTTCTTTTTTTTTAAACAAATTTGCCCCCCCAAAAGTTTTGTTACTTCTTTTTAAACAGTTTAAGTTCAGGGATACAAGTGCAGGTGTGTTACATAGGTAAACTTGTGTCATGGGGGTTTGCATTCAGATTATTTCATCACTCAAGTATTAAGCCTGGTATCCA